CCCCCCCCCCCGCTCGCGCGCGCGCGCGCGCGCGCCTGGAAACTATACTCATTGGAAGCCCCCAACCCTAATTAGAGGACCTCATCCTCAAGTTAGTGAGAAAAAAAACTTTTAAAAAGGCTCTTTTTTTTACGCAATATGGATGGAAGGCGGGGCTGGACAAGAATGACATTACAGTGCACAATGCGGGGTACACCAAGCAGTTCATATGGCCGAAATCCTACCAGCCACTGGGTCTGAAGAGATCTGGACAGAAACGAAGGGCCCAGCAGCAAGAAATGGAGCAATTGGGAAGCAGTGATCAGGTTTTGTCAGATTCTGCTAAGGGGTTAGGTGTGGATGAACAGATGGAAGAGGAAAAGAGGCAAGCAGTGATCCTGGAGGCACAAGTTGAGGTTCTCAGGGATCAGAACAGGGAAGTGGAAGAAGACACTATAAATTTGCAAAAAATAGCCCACACTCCACACGCAGACATCAATGCAGCGGCCAAATTGTATGCAAGACAAGATCCAAGTAAGAGAATCATTTTGCCCTACAGATGGAACAGCGGTAACGCCGATTGGGAGGTGCCCATCCAAAGGTCTTTGTCACTAATTACAGCGAAGGACAGTCATTGCGAGCTTGAGATTTTGAAGGAACATATCACAGAAGATCTGCCCTCGCAGGCACATGTCATTGGGGATGTCAAGCATGATACGGAAGAATGGGAAGATCCGGCGGGTACAACGCACATGATGGACTACAGGCCAGTCATGATCAAGCTGCAGGAAAAGGCAGTGCTGGCTCAGGGATTGATCTGGATGCCATGGCAAGTGGTAGAGACAATCCCATATGGATTGTTGGGGGGTTCGGAGGCGGCAGAATGGGTGGCAAGGGGAGCGGCCATAGTGACCAAAAGTGATGTGTTTGCATGGCAACTGGACTACATTGACGGAAAGATCGAGATCTTGGCTACAACAGTAGAGTGGACCCGGGTAGGATCCTGAGTAGGATGTTAGTAAAGGGTCAATAAAAGACATCATAGCTCATGGAGGCGGGATTGAGAGAGGGAGTGTACAAACGAAGAAGGACAGCGAACACCTCAAAACGTAGGGAGCTGGACCTTAGGGTCATGTCTTGGAACATCAATGGGATGGTACAAATTTTGGAAAACAAAGTCAAGCGAGACAACATAATGAGGTACTCAAACTGGTTTGGGAAGACACCGCCAAAATTCTTATGCTTGCTGGAAACTCACCTTATGGATTCATCAGAACATCAGAACATTCAACAACGTATAGTGAGACAACTAAGTTGGGTTAAGGCAAGTTTTTGGTAGGTAGCTGGCAGGTCACATTCAACAGGCGTAGTAATTTTATTGAATAAAAGATTGTTGGCTGCAGATACAATAATAGTACAGGATGTCATAGTAGATGAAGACGAAGGTCGGTGGATAAAGCTCAATTTTACCTTTCAGAATGAGCAGTTTACGCTCATTACAGTCTATTGTCCTAACGGAGGACATCAGTGGTCAGAGATGATAGATACGCTACAAAACCTCATAGATCCCTCTAGATATCTCACTTTTGCTAGGGATTGGAATGCTACTTTGGACCCTAATAAAGACAGACTACTAGGCGGAAGGTCAGGGTTAGGGGAAGGAGTGATGTGGGACGAAGCCCTACCTATTCATAACCTTATGGCGGCTAGGGATCTGGTCGACCCGTTTAGACGTGAACAGCCAGAAGGGAAACAATTCACGTATTACAAAAGGAATCGTAGTCAACATATTTCAACATCGAGGATAGACTACTTCCTCATATCACAAGACACCGTGGGATTATTACACTCAGTGAGAATAGGGGACCTACGATATTGTATGTGCCTAGATCATAAACCTATATTTCTTCACTTCATTATGGACAAACATGTCCACAGAGGAAGGAGTTTCTGTAAGGTTAATAATTCATTATTAAGAACCAAGGAGTTGAGGGAAGCTATTCTGCAAGTGTGCCTAACACACAATCCGAACACACAATCTTTTACGGATCTGATAGAAGCTGTGTCAGAAGCGTCAGCAGCAGTAGCCAAACAACTGGCTGTAAGACGAGCGGCAAGGGAAAGCGAACTGCAAAGGGCATTGCGTTGTCGGGGAAAAGGATATTTGTCGGGGTTTTCAACGCCGGATGCTGTCCGACTCTGCCATTGAATTAAAGGACTTGATGAGACTAACATTTGCCAAAAGTTTATTCAGACCTGACCTATGACTGAGAGATTAAAAGTTTTCGAGTTTTAGTCCAGACGCTTGTGGTGTCCGAGTGTAACGATAGTCGTTGGCAATGCTTCGCTTTTGTCGAAGCCGCAGGAACGTGCGGACATGGAAATGGTAAAGCTAAGCCTATCCTACCAAAAATAATGACGCGCGACTGCTAAGCCACGCGATTCAGCACCTAGGTAGGCTGAAAAGAACGGCGTGCCGAGTACGGGGTCGCGGCGAGGGAGGAATAGGGAGCCTATACTTTTTATTTTATTTTGGGTCGCTAGGGTTAATGCCACACCAAGGTCCGACGCCAGATTCGCAGCAAAGGGTGTGGCTTACCAGACCTATCGGACTAAGCCCCAGCCGGTTAGATGGCGGGGCAGCGACCGTTAGGATAGGCAAGGCAGAATGGGCCTACTTAGGCCAGAAGCTGGTTGGTCTACTAGTTGGCAGCTCTTCAAATAGAAGAGCTGCTCCTATCATGTTGTGATAGGAGCTAGCCCAGTAGGTAAACCACCAGTCTTATATCCTGCAAATGTAGGGATCGAAGCCAATAAGCCCCAGTAGGCTAGCTCCTTTTGGGAGCAACCGTGGGAAAAAGTGGTCCGACGCGGCAGTTTTTGGCCGGGCGACCTGCGAGATCGCACGGTCGCGGATCGGAGAAAGGCCCTACGTGAGGATGACACGCATAAATCGAGAAAAAGTAAAAAAAAAAAAAAAAAAAAAAAAAAACCTAACCTGAAAGAGGAGCGTCATCTGGCGCCCTCTGAAGTGACTGGGGCATTTCAAGCCCCAGTGCACGTGACAGCGCCCGAGGAAAATGGACGACCGTTTTCTATAGGATGAAAGTTGTTTTGTTTTCGTTTTTTCCTTTTCTTTTTTTTCTTCGATTTCTTTTTAGATTTCCTTTTAGATTCTGTCTTCTTCTTGCTTAGATTCAGTTTAGGTTTTCTCTTTTTATTTCTTTTCTTTTTTTTCTTGGTGCCTGCTAAAGGAGAACAGAGCACCCGTTCGTTTCGAACGAACGGGTCATAGTAGTGGCAAAAAAAAAAAAAAAGTATGACTGTGCCAGACTGTTTCGTCGGACTTGCACCGACTCATCAGGAGGTTACACCTCGACAGTCTGAGGTAGGATGAGCAAGCTCGAATGAACCAGCCGGCGCAGTGCGGCTACGTTCGGGCAAGGGCTTAGGGACCTTGTACTTGAGTCGAGGGACTCTCTGCGCACCTCTCGGACGGCTTTAGTATCAACTCGTCTGATCGTTGTGACTGTTGAGAGAGAGAGAGAGAGAGAGAGAGAGAGAGAGAGAGAGAGAGAGAGAGAGAGAGAGAGAGA